CAGATCCTGAAGTAGATCAAAATGATTTCCTTTGTCCATGGAAATAAGTTGCAAAATGTACAGCTATAATGGACCTACTCAGTAACAATATAGTTGTAACAAATCTTCTTTGTTTCACATATTGGGTCAACAGAATAGCAGTTTACTGGATGTCTAATTATATGCAGGCACTGTGCTAATTGCTAGGTCCAGAAATATGAATACACTGTCCCTATTCCTAAGAGCTTCCAATTAAATGAGGAAGACAGACACCTAAAGAAATATTTGCAGCACAGCGTGATACTCAGAGAACTGTACTGTTACGCCAGCCGCCTTGTTTCCCTTGGAACCAACAGCATCATTTGGTGAACTAGTTAGACAGCTGTGGTGGGGAATGTTGTCCAAGTCAGTGGGACGAGTAGAGCTGCCTGGCTCATAGCATCATTCAGCAGCGGCGGTGTTACAGGGAGAGGGCATGCTCTAGCCAGTCAGACTGACAGCACAGGTGAAGCTCAACACTTAGATCGCTCTTACCATAAGGCTGATCTTCATTGATTTGTAAGCAAATCGTCCTCTCATTACCCACCAAGGATGTGACTGCTTTGGTTTCTATTTCTGTATACTTTTTGAGGTCTTTATTAGAAGTGGTTTTAAGAGTCTGAAAACCCTAGCTAATGACAAATGATTGAAAGACTTACTAAAATTTGGCTTTAGAATTCCTCTCCCAGAAAAGTTGTGTTTGTAGTTTATGTTGATGGTGGTGGGGGGTGGTAGGGGAGGGAGGAGGCTTAAAAGGAGAAAGACCCAGCTGGGCTTTAGTTCAGAATGGATTTGAAAGAACTAGAGCAGGTTCGGGGATGAAAATGCCTGAAAGGCGAGAGAATTAGGATAGATTTTCTGAGGCACCTGTAAGAAAAGGCATGTAACCCCAGCCGTTATGGCAGGTTTTAAAGTGCTAAGCATTTCAACAGGAAGGAAAATAACACCTGGATTTTACAGGAAGGGGAGACATGCTATAGTTTGAAATACTTGTGGAGACAGGGGCGGGAAGTTAATGCCGGGAGGAAGCAGAGCTTTCTATGTGAGCAGTAATAAAATTTTTCAAAAATGAAGGCATTGAGCTCTTTATTCCTGAAAGAACTGAATTAGAAATTGGAAAAAAAAAATCATTTGTCAGGGTGAATCACCTGTCAGAGTGTTTTGGAATTTAGAGGGGCTTTGTCTCCAGCATGTCAGAAGCTGTGTTAGATTCTAAGGCTATTTTCAAGTTTGAATAGGAGTCTAGGATTTAGAAGTTATCTTTTGATCAATGCATAATAGTACTATCCTGTGATTATATTCCCTAGCGAGATATTAAATTTAATTAAGCATTATTTGTACCATCCAACAGAATCAATTTATAAACACATCTAGGTTTTTAAGATATAAAGATATTCTTTTAAGTCATATACTCTTTAACTAGAATCACTGCATTTAACTAGACAGCAACATTTGCAGCAAAACAGGAACTAATTCAGGAGAAAATTTTAGGTGCTGGTCTTTCAGTGTCTATTCTCTGTGAAACAGATGTGCACCCACAGGAGAGAGGAGGAAAACGCCCTATTAGCAGTGCACTAAAAACATCAGCACCATTTATAGATTTTTCCTGAGTGATTAAAAAAAAAAAAGAATGAAGAACAGATTGTCTTCAATAAGACTGGTCCTAACTGGTGTAGTTGTAAGACTCTGGTCCTACTGAAACCTTGCGTGTGCAGAGCTACTGAGCTACTGAGATCAAGTGCGTTAGAATCTAAAATGCTCAATAAATCAGAGGAGGCAGTCATCAGTCATATGTCAGAAAACTAGAAAGATGGGAAGGTGTAAAGAGCATGTAGAAATCTTTAATTGTTGACTGCTGTATAGGACTTACGGGATGGACCATTGGCCACAGGGCCCGTCTGAGGACTTGTCTTACTCTAAATATGGCTTTGCAAAGGGGAGTCAAGTGATTTCTTACGTTGAATGGAAATCTGCTTCCCTATGAAGTCTAGCCTTTCTTTTTAGGTTGCCCTCCAGGGCTGCCCATGGAAGCCATTTCCAACTCTAAATATCAAAGACTTTCCAGACACAGGATCCAATTAAACTGAGAATGAGCACCTAATAGTAACATTACATAGTCCACATCAAACTTGATCGTTAGATTGTATTTACTGCTTCCCTATCTCGGAATGTCAATACATGCTTCTCTCTACTTGAGTCTGATTTTCTGAACGGTGCCCCTTGAGCGAGGTATACCGTACTCATATCCAGTTGCTCTCGATACCAGATGTGGTCACTCTCAAAGCACACTCGCTTTCCAGAGTAGCAGATCGAATACTGCCGTGATAAAGACTTCCCACCCAGAACCAGAGCTGAGTGTGCTGGGAAGGTAGTTAATTTTGATTATGCAAATATTCTTCCTACTGCTCAGTTTTTCAAGCAATAAATGAACAAAAGGTGCTCCACATTTGAAATCAATTTTGTAGATCACTCTGGGAGTGCCCATTAACTTCGAACTGATCTCATATAAATGTTTAATTTAATCATCTTCATATATAATAATGCCAGAGACCTATTTTCAATTCTAGAAGATGTATTAGATTTTTTTTGTGTGTGTGCATAATCTAAATGATAAAGGACTTAGAAATGTTTAACAATTTTTCCACAAGAATGAAAGCAATCTAGGTAATGAGCACAATTATTTTGTCTCTTACATTGCATTATTGGCTGAACAAGGATCATGAAGGAAAGCAGACTTTAGAGAAAAAAAAAAAAAAAAAGACTTGGGGAAGAGGCCATAGATAAAGGGATGTGTTGTTTCCTCTGACCTAACTTTACAGACAGGAATACAGCAGCTCTTTCTGGGGGTTCTGAGAATAACCTTGAAAGATCAGATACTTGCCTGTCGGAGATCCAGAATGGAGTCAGGCCAGAACGACAGGCATGGTTCTCGGACAGTAAAGCCAGGGATCGGCAAGATGAGAAGGTTATAACCAGTTCAGTCACTTACACGTGTGCGTGTGGCTGGGTTCCTCGAGGGTGCGGGACACAGACAACCATTTTTTCAATATGGCAGACAGATAATGAAAGTGCCACCTTTACAAGAAGATGTAAAATTGGAACAAGATCAGTCATTAATGGAGCCAAGCCCAGCCCAGCAGTCTGTGCTCTGATGCCAAGGATCAAAGTAAAAAAAAACAGTAAATAAAGGAAGAATTCAGGCGTTGATGACTAGACGGAGTACTTTTCTTGCTGTTAAAACTGACAAAGAGCATCCAGTTGTGGATGTAAAGGGATGGCAATGAGAAAAGCATGATTAACAAGTCAAGTGCAGCAACTGTAGAAAAAAACCTCGTGTGTTAGAAAGTGTATTAAATCAAATGCAGAGGGAGCTTCCTAGGCCTTGTTTCTAGAAACATTACCATGAACCAACAGCTAATGAGAAGATTGGCGGACATCAAGATGATCTAATAATGAAACAAGATCAGGAAGGGATTGTTTCGCCTTAGTTTTTCCTTTCTGGAAGAGATGAACAATTCCTAGAGTCAGTAATTAATATTTATTTTAAACATACTTTAATTATTTATATATGTTTAAGTTAACAGTTCAGTAAATCCAGGTAGGTCACCCACTGTGTTATGGTCTTTCCTAAATAATTTTTTCAAAGCCACAAGTATACATACAAAAGCCTACACACACACACACACACACACATACATACGGGAAAGGGCAGAGCCCACTTAGGAGGGACGGCCCACAATTCTACAGAATACTTTTTATGCAACAGCCATCTGATTAGGGACAGTCCAATTTTGGAAATGCATGATCATGTAGTCTAATATATATATATATATATATATATATATATATTTATATTTGAAGCTTATGATTGCATAAACTTATATGGCATAGTAGAAGGACCTTTATTTAGGTTTATTTCTACTTTTACAACCTAATATGGTTATATCTTTTTAAACTAATGAAAGAAACATACTCTCTTGCAACACAGAATCATCCTACCTGAGAACAAGGATGATTGATACTCTTTCTTTGTTTGGGTGAAAGATGATTAAGCATCTAAACAGATACAGCAGGTTGTGAATTTGAGCAACACCAAAAACCTAGTCATTTAAAAAAAATTAGAAAATAAATCACTGTGACTAATTTACATAAGTTGTAAACCAACACGGTGCTTTATAGTTGATATATATCATCAAAGGAAACTGATATGGTACTAATTTAAATGTTGAAATTTCTTACTGCAACTCAAATTTGAACATATAAAAAATTACGAAATTCAACATAAGGACACACTGATCTAGAGGCCAGATTTCCTCCGTCCTCAATTATGTTGGAACCTGGCAAGGATACAGAAAAAGTATTTGAGGACCACCATCTTGGAATCCAAGAACTTCACTCAGAAGTTATGATAGACTCAGATTGGTTGTAACTTAGAACTAATAATTAAATCAAGAATGTTAATTTACTGAGCCTGAGCCAGAAAATGAGAAAGATATGATACTGCTAGAAACTGAAACCAACGAACACTGAGAACTAATAGAATAAGCAATTTTAAAAGCATTTCAGTAACTGCCATTGACATTATGGCATTATAGCATGGTACATTATGCTTTTAATGAAGAATTGAATCATAAAAAAAGTCAAGCCATGTTGAGTGTACAGCTTAGAAGCCTAGGGAAATACACAGCATTTTAGAAAAGTTTACCTAACCCCCCCAAAAAAACAGAAAAAGGAAAAGGAAAAAAGGAAGGACTGAAAAGAAGCTAAGCCAGGATCAGAAAGGGTAGGAATTCAGCAACTCTTACTCCTGTAGTAACGGAGCAGGCTTCTTACCTCTTTCTAATTAAAATTTCACTTCATCTAATATAATGTGCAAATAATCCATTTTCACTACCTTAAGAGATTTTCCCTACCTAGATAGTACAAATCTGTGAACACTGATTTGTTCTTACTAGTCTTTTATGGATAAAGTACTCTAAAAATCAAGACAGCAACGCCTACGAGTTTTATTTACAGATGAGAATACTAAGTGTTCTGGATTCTCCAAGATTCAGTGATATTCAGTATAATGTTTGGTGAATGTATTTTGTCTTTGAAGTTTCTGGCAACTGCTAAGTCATATATGCTTCCATTCATAGTGATTCTCTAACAGACGGTACATTTTATTTTACTAAGAGGTAAAGGCCTTGTTACCAACTATTACGGTTAGCAGATTTACGGTAGGTTTCTACAACTGGAATAGTTTTAGAATGTCTAAGCACATGCTCCTTTCAGAAATGGTTAGAAAACCATGGGTCTCTGTATTTATTGAACTGAATCACCTGACAGTAAAATTCCGTTAAGGCTCTTGGCATCGGAGCGACTTCCTCCCACTCCGACCTGCTGCTGTGGTAGACTTGGACTTCATCTGTGATTTCATCCGGGGCGTAATCGCCACCCAAGATGTAAATTTTATCTTCAATCCCAACCGCGCCTGCGTTGAAGCCCGCACACTCAAAAGAGCCTTCCCCCTTCCAGACGCAAGTATCTGGACAAAAACTATACACCTTGTAGGTGGAAAGGTCACATATGTACAGTGTGCAGTTTACTGGGACAGCTTTGATCAGCGTTGCATGAAAAAACTGCCCGAACTCTGCTACTAGTTCAGACCACTGGTCAGTGGTCGCGTTGTATTTAAAAAAGCAGTCGAGGGACGGGTTAAAGGCATCTGTAATCTCTACCTCCGACCCAAGGACATAGATGACATTCTGGCATGCGCTGGCTTCGGGGTAAAATATGCCCCTGGGTAAGGGGCTAACAGACATCCATTCTCTGGAAAGAGGGTTGTAAGACTCAACGTCTAAGAGACTTTTAATGTCCTGAGACCCTCTGGTCTTTCCACCTATGACAAATAACCTGTCGAGAGCCAGAACTGACGTATGCATGGTTCTCGGGGTCTTCATAGTTGATACCAGGAAGAAATCGTTTTTAACCGGACAGTAGCACCAGGTTTGGTCGGTCGCGTCGTGGTAGGACTCTGCGATGTGAAGCCGCACGGTTCTGCAGCACGGCCCCTTGCAGCCCCCGGTGAGGAATATCTTCTCTCCGTAACTAGACAGACTAGACCCTGGCAGATCGATCAGGTGTGACTGTGGCAGTACTTTCCACGAGTCACTGTTGATGTTGTAGCAAAATGTGTATTGGTTGCCTCCGTTTTCCTCGGTTTTGTGCACAAAGATGTATTTCTCGGTGGTGGATGGCCGAGCGTCAGGGAAGAGTCCGCCAGAACCTTGCACACACTTCATGGCATCCATGACCATGTCAAAACAGTTCGTGCTTTTGAGTAAACACTCCTCGTTGAGCAGACAGTCTCGAAGCGTCTCCTCAGATAACTGATGTAATCGGACTTTTTTAATCAAATAAGGCAGATGCTTTTGCCTTGATTCTAGGTTATGTTTGGTCCAACTAAGGACAACCTTCAGGACGGTTTCTTCCTCGGGGACATTTAAGTCATCTGATTCCAGACATTTTTGCAGGACTCCAAAATTCATCTCTAAGAAATCACTGGATTTAAATAGCAAGGAAAAGTGGTTCTGTACAAAGTAGAGGGCGTGATCGAACAAGCGAGGGGAGCCATAGCTGTCTGATATAGATAGTAACTGTAGACAGTTGACAAGGTTAATGCTTTTTATTAAAAAGTCACTGCAAGCTTTGGCCAGGAAGGAGACTTGAAGAAATGAGGACAACTGGAAGAACATTTCCACATTCTCATCTGTTATCTGTGTTTTCCCAGTATAGGCGTAGTCAAGGAATGCCTTCACAGCTTTGGAGGACAGATTTGTGATGGTGACACTCCCACCGTCTCTCTCTCTCATGTTTACTTCAAACATAGCCCTGCAACAGTGAAGAACAGAGAAGAACACGTGGGAAGAGGTCATTCCGTGCTAGCTGTCAACTTACCTTCCAGACGCTTCCTTGACCCTTAGGTTGATTTAAAATATATTTCAGACATGTCAAGTTTATCTTTATGAATTATCTAGAAGAGTTGTATACCGCATTGTTTATCTTTAAGACCTAAACATAACTCCCATACTACAAAATACATACGTGATAGCCGAGCTGTTGCAACTCATCCAAAGAAGACTGTAAGAAGAGTCACATTTGGTAAACTAATTAGCTGCTCTTAAATATTATTCATAAAATTAGGGTAAAATCTCTCTAATGTTTCCTTTTTTTAATGAGTTAATTAGTATCAACTCTGCAGGTGATAACTAGGAGTACTTAACATATACAATGCTTCTGAGGTTAGGGTTTAAAAGTATCTTGCACAGTAATTTTCAGCTTGGCAGCAGTGAAAAAACATGGGGAAAGTGGAATGCTGTGAGGTATCACATGTCTCCAAGGAGTCTATGTGGGAAACCCACCACACGAGATATATTTAAATACACGCTGAAGGAGACACATTCCATGCAGCAGTTTAGGAACAAAAGGGAATGTGATTTCATGGAGCTAAACACCAACCCAAAAGGCTAAAAGTAAGTTTTCAAAGAGACAGCCACTGAGAGATGGAGGTGGTCCCCAGATTTAAGTTCTGAGTTCTTCTGAGCTGTAATTCATCTCCACCTGGCCAAGAGGATAGAGTCTAAGGAAGTGGGAACTTTAGGGGCTCAATTTAAGTGAAAATGTAACTTATTTGTAAGTGTTTGGGCAGGAAACGAAGACGTATTTTACTCTTGGTTTTCGTAGACCAATCTTGCCACCCATCCTTCTATTGACTTCATATCCAGCATGATTCATTTTTACACAGACCTGCTATGGCGGTTGTCAGTGGACAGCCAGCGGAGACTGAGATTAAAGAGAAAGAGCTAAAGAAAGAACTAAGGACCACCTGTAGCTGTACCTTTGCTAGGACTGGACTGACTGGTGTGGGTTCTGGTTTAATACTGGTTTGCGTCTATACCATTATTGTCCAGGGTACCTGTGTGAGCAGTGCCCCGAAGTGCTCAAGTACTCTGTGGGGAACCAGTTTAGTTCTTAAGAGTCTGTTCTAGAGGGTAAGCAAAGCTATTCAGGAAGCACTAGTATCCGACTGAGAAGTACGAGGAGCCCTCCAAGTACGGGAACACCCCTCAGGACAAGGAAGGATGACACTTGCCCACTAGGCTACTGGGTTCTTAATCCACAAGTGGGTATAGTTACACAAATTACGTACATGTTCTACATCATATACATATCTCAGTAATGTCAGCTGAGCAATATGAAACTGTGATGACAATTATATTGGATTATGAATACATGGATCATCAGTTTAGGATAATATTAAGAGCCAGACCTCTAGAATCTGGCTTCCTGGGTGGGTGTCTGGCCATTGTCACTTACAAGCTGTGTGACCTTGGTGGGGGGGGCTTCATTGTGCTTCCAGTTCCTCATCTGAAAATGGCGATACTTGTAGTGTCTGTTCTACTCAGTGTTTAGAGGCACCAGTGAGTTAATCAATGCAAAGTATTAGGTACTATCATCACTTTAGGAAAATGTTTTCTGTCAGATGCTGTACATTTTTAGTTTATCACCAGCTTCCACATTTTCTTTGAGAAGACACAAGTAAGGTCGTATTTCTGGACTTCCTCCTGTTCATCCTTAAGTATCCGGTTACCATCCATTTCAAATTTGCCATATTACCATAAAGTGGTTGTATAATATATGTGACTCCTCTTCAGTCTTCTGTGACTTTACATCTCATTTATAACTTTTATTTTCCAAAATCATCATAAAGTGCACTTCTCATGCATTGCACACTGCCCTATTGTTTTACATTCTTCCTCCCAGTACTTCAGTGAACTTGATAACACAAATACTATGAATTAGTGGCCTCATCACTCAAGAGTGTAAATTATAGAATTTCAGTCTTTGTTTCCATTTTAATATGAACTGGGTATTCCTTTAGTAAAATACTATATATAATAAAGGATCTAGGACATTATAACATGGACATTTGTGTTATGTCAAAGCAGGGAGAAGATTTTAATTGTTCTGTTCTTTTTTTTTTTTAAGATTTTTATTTATTTATTTGACAGGCAGAGATCACAAGCAGGCAGAGAGGCAGCCAGAGAGAGAGGAGGAAGCAGGCTCCCCACTGAGCAGAGAGCCCGATGCGAGGCTCGATCCCAGGACCCTGGGATCATGACCTGAGCCGAAGGCAGAGGCTTTAACCCACTGAGCCACCCAGGCGCCCCTAATTGTTTTAATAGGAGTTTTAAAAAATTTAAAGCAGATCCATAATAGTTAGGAGTAGGATGAACAAAATATTGTGCAAAATTATGTGCAGATACATTTAATAAATAAACTCTACATGAAGACTAGAGGCCTGCAATCCAAATGCTCACAGGAACTTCTTATTTCATTAACATGATAGGGAAATCAACCTGGGTGTTTGCACCAGATTACGTCCATTTTTTGCTAGGTTTGGAAATAACAGTAATCATAGCATCTAGTGTTAGTTGAAAGTAGTGGACAGGTTCCTAAACAGTACATATACATTATTTCATTTAACACTCATAATGACTTGGTAAGTTAGGTTCTTATTTATTATCTTAATTTTTACAAATAAGGAACCCGAGACTTGAAGAAATTAAGTCACTTGTTTAAGGTCATGTCTGATAAGTGACAGAACCAGGATTTAGATTTAGGGCCTGTGTATTAAGAGGCCAGGTACTTAACCGTTAGAGCACCCAGCTTCCTGTCGGGAGGAGGTGGCAGAAGATGGGGGAGCAGAATGGAGCTACTAGGAAGAAAACCTGGAATGGAACAGAACTGGGGAGAAACTGGTAGTACCACCGAGGCAGAGCACAGTGACAGTGAGGGGCCCAGTGGAGTTCAAAGAACAGCTTAGGTTACCAGAGAGAAGACATGAAAAGAACAGAGAAAGAACTAGTGTCTGGGTGGGGAGAAGGTGTCGCCTCCATGTCCCCGGTGATGTGGGACGCAGCACTGAGCCACTGCTCCCCACTCAAGCAGGAAAACCCCCAGGCACGGGAGTTCAGCGAGCAGTGACTATCAGTAACACTTCTGCTGATTCCCTCCAGAGCAACAGGGGTGAGGTCTAATCAGATGCTGGTGGCAAAGGAGCAGTTTTAATTAAGGATTAAAATCAGTATAAGTTACCTTGCACCTAGTGTATTTGTATTTTAAATCTTACTCTGTTTTTATAAATTTTATTTACTAGAGATTTAAGTCCTGCTTATTTTGAATAAAAATTGTTTCTATAATGGAACATAATGCAAATACTGTAATTAGGATTAAATTTATTGCAGTGAGACTGGGAGGGCTGAGGCCAGGATGTCACCAGGAGAGGTTCATGCATCTGACCAAGAGGACTCACAGGCCGGTATGACCTTGATATGGTTGCCACGGTACTGAGGTCCTGCGTCTGGCACTTACCCTTGCAGAATCAGAAACCCGCTGTCACCACAGGGGGTTCGAACAGTGTCATGACTAGGACATTCCCTGTAGGATGATCTATGGGGGAACCAAGTTCTATTCAAAAGGTTGCCTGGAATCAGAACAAGTTGGGAGTTCTCCAGAAATGCTTCTGGAGGTACGTTTCCCATATAGGACTCTCTTTGTTAAAGAGAGAAGAAATCTTGAAATCCTCTGTGTGAGTCCTTCTCCCTTGTTTAGCGCACGGATACATGACTAAACTCAGTTCTCCTCTCAAATTCATTTCCTTTGAATTATACTTCCATTTTTTAATCCATTTGTCCTCTCCTTTTTTTCTAAACAACACAGTGCAAGAACTCCCCCAAACAAAACTGGCTCTAGATCAAAACAATTTTTTTTCCAAGGGACCAGTGGTCCATACAACCTCAGGAAATGCTGACCTGGGAAGACCTGAACTATTAAAAAAGGTAGTCTTAGGGCACCTGGGTGGCTCAGTCATTGGGCATCTGCCTTCAGCTTGGGTCTTGGTCCTGGGGACCTGGGATCGAGGCCAGAGTTGGACTCCCTGCTCGGTGGGAGGCCTGCTTCTTCCTCTCCCACTCCCTCTGCTGTGTTCCCTCCGTCCCTCTCTCTCTCTCTCTCTCTCTCTTTCAAATAAATAATAAAAAATCTTTAAAAAAAAAGGTAGTCTTAAATTTTCATATTAAAAATTCACTAGTTAATCTAGGTTCAAATTAGTTTTTATTTTAAGAATTAAAAATTACCATTCCGTGCTCCTGTAGGGGAGAAATTCAGTAGTTATGAAACATAACTTAATAACACAAAATCTGAGGCACACACAAAAGGCGAAGTACCTGAAAAAGTCACTGCACGCTGCTAAGACACAGCGATGACATGGGATTATTTCATCTTTCATGATTATTTCGAAATCATAAAAGACATTTTGTTCTCTAAAATTCTGCAGTACACTTAAGATTTTCTGTCCATGATCTTCAGATACAAGGAAGTTGTTTTTCTTCTCAGGTGGAAGTCCGTTACGTGAGTGTCGTTGATTGAAATGATATGAATTATCCATAGCCAATTCCTTTTGTTCTTAGAACTGGAATGGAAGAGAAAAATCATTGTTGTGGTGAGTCCGGATGACATTTCAGATCCAAAGTCTGTTCAGTGTCATTTATACTGAGAACAACTGTTAACATAGTAAACTTGTTCTAAACATTTGTTTTCAGGACATTTAATAATAAATTTCTTTTGAATTTTTGTAAATATTGAGATTCCTGGAATAGAAAGTACTATCAGATGGAAGGATACAGTTCAGGGCTATATAATTGTGTCAAATAGCACAATTTTAAAATTGTATGTGTAGCACACATAGGCTCTTACTACATGACTAGTCTTGTTATATGTAAGAGGTATTATTTACCCCGTAGTTATCACATGGCTGTATACCCAACACATCCCTGTCCCCTCCCATCCATTTTCTTCTTGCAGCAAAGAAAATGTTAAAATACTGATCTTGAAGCACAGATATATGCCTTCTGGGGTTCAGCTTTTCAGAGATAAACACCAAAAAGGACCAGAGTGTTAGACTGTATTAACTAGTTATGGCCTTTAGTAAGGAAAGAAAGGCAAACATCGGTCCAAGTTGGCCTATATGGTTGCCTTTTATTTCTTTTCCTTGTCTGATTGCTTGTGGCTAGGACTTCCAGTACTACATTGAATCAGAGTGGTAAGACGGGACCTCCTTGTTTTATTCCTGACCTTAAAAAGTTCTCCATTTTTCCCCATTTAGGATGATACTAGCTGTGGGTTTTCATATATGGCCTTTATTATATGGAGGTATGTTCCCTCTAAACCTATTTTGTTGAGGGTTTTTATCATGACTGGATGTTGAACTTTGTCAAATGCTTTTTTCTGCATCTATTAAAGTGATCATATGGTTCTTATCTTCTCTTACTGATGTGATGTATGACGTTGACTGGTTTGTGAATATTGAACCACCCTGGCAACTCAGGGATAAATCCCTCTTGATCATGGTGAGTGAATTTCCTAATGTATTGTTGAATTTGGCATGTTACTATTTTATCGAGATTTTTGCTTCTATTTTCATCAGGGATATTGACCTGTAGTTCTCTTTTTTAGTGGACTCTTTATCCTGTTTTGGTATGAGGGTAATGCTGGCCTCATAGAGTGAATTTAGAAGTTTTCCTTCCTTTTCTATTTCTTTTGGAATAGTTTGATAAGACAGGCATTAACTCTTCTTTAAATGTTCAGTAAAATTACTCTGTGAAGCCAATCTTGTCCTGTACTTCTGTTTGTTGGGAGTTTTTTGATTACTGATTCAGTCTATTTGCTTTGGTCTGTTCAAGTTTCCTATTTCTTCCTGTATCAGTTTTGGTAATTTATATGTTTCTAGGAATTTATCCATTTCTTCCAGGTTGCCCAGTTTGGTGGCATAGTTTATCATTAAAATTCTCTTACAATTGTTTGTCTTTCTGTGGTGTTGGTTATTTCTCCCCTCTCATTTGTGATTTTGTTTGAGTCCTTTCTCTCGCTCTCTCTCTCTCTCTTAAGCCAAACTGTCCTATTTGAAAGCATGACAGAAAACAGCATAACTTTATTTAGAAAGGCCTTTTAAACATCAGATCAGAAATCCAAGATAGTTTAAGTCCAGATCATTGTGACTTTCCCAAATTCAGTTCTATGCACACAACTTTACCCCACCAAAAAGCAAGGAGGTGGGAAACAGAAAGGGAAAGAAGATTGGGAACTAAGGAAGCCAGAGAAAGAGGGAACCTTGATTCTCTTAGTATGTTTTTATTCTGGTTATCTATTGCTTTGTAAATCACCAGCAAACTTAGTAGCTTGTGAGAACAATTTACTCTCTCTCATGGTTCTGTGGGTTTAGCTGGAGCTTCTTGCTTGAGGCTTTCATACACTTAGAATCAGGTGGCAGCTCTGGCTGAAGTCATTTGAAAGCCTGACTAGGCTCCAGGTCCAATATGGTTCCTTTTCTCACATTTCCGATGCTTCAAATGGGATGCCTAGAACAGACAGGTCTCTGTCTGTCTTTGTGTGTGTCTCTCTCAATGCACTCTTTCCGTGTGGGCTAGCTTACACTTCCTCGCAACATGGCGGTCTCGAGGTAGTTGGACTTCTTTCAAGCCCAGGTGGAAGCTATACACAGAGAAGTAGTCTGAATGGTCCCAGAGCATCAGTTAAAGCTCTAGTCTGGGACTGAGACCATCTACTGCCATGTTGTCCAATACAGTAATCATGCGCCATGTATTGCTTTTTAAATTTAAATCATCTGATGAAATTAAATTAAAAATTTGGTTCTTTGGTTGCTCTGACCATATTTTAAGTAATCAGTAGCCACATGTAGTGTGATGGTTACTTTTATGTGTCAGCATGACTGAGCCAGGGAGTGCCCCGGTACGTAGCTAGGCATTATTTTTGGGGGTGTCTGTGAGGGCATTTGTGGATGCGATTACCATTTGAAGTGGGAAACTCAGTAAAGCAGAGTGCCCTCGCTCATGTGATTGGCACTCATCCATTCCTTTTGAAAGCCAGACAGAACACAAGGCCAAGTAAGAAAGGATTCTTTCTGTCTGCTGCACTGCGTTGGAGTTGGGGCGTTGGGCTTCTCCTGCCTTTGGACTGAGACTGAGGACTGTCCCTGTCCCACTGGCTCTTGCCAGCTCTCCTGGAGGCATGCCGGCTGCGGATCTCAGGGTTTCTCAGACCCCGTGATCACAGAAGCCAGCTTCCTAGTGTCAATCTGTCTGTCTGTCCATCTCTCCAGCTGGTTCTGTTTGTCTGGAGAACTGCATTGTCACATACGGCAGCTATTACATTGTTCAGCAGAAATCTGAAATATTTTCATCATCACAGGAAGATCCACTGGACGGCTGCTGTACTGTGGGAAGGCCAGCGCGTACACACGTGCATGGGAGGGACAGCGAGCGCGTACAAGTGGGGGAGGGTAATAGGATGTGACTGGCAGAGTTCCTGGAAAAACAAGTTCCCAGCAGGGATTCTGTGAGCAGCGTTCTAAAGCAGCTGTAAGGAGGGAGACATAATGAGAGTGGGTGTCATGAAGGGAGAGAGATAATGAGAGGCTTGGGGGCAGTTTCGAAGAAAAGGAAGGCAGAAAAGAGTTGCACTAGTCAGAGTTCTCTGGAGAAACAGAACCAGTGAACCAATAGGCTACAAGCCTATTGTTTTTGTGTACAGAGGTGTACACACACACACATACTGGTACATATAGTTTGTGTGTGTGTGTGTCTATAAAAAATAAGGAATTGGAAAAAAAATAAGGAATTGATTCACAAAATTATGGAGGTCCCAAGATCTGTGGTTGGCAAGCGGAGACCAAGGATAGTCTAAAAGCTGACAGCCTGGAAACCTGGAAACAGATGATTTTTTAATTTGAGTCCAAAGGCAGGAAATGGTTTTTCTCAACTCAGCACTCAGATAAGTTTCCTCTTAGCAGTTATGTCCTATCCAGGTCTTCAACTGATTGGGTGAGGCCCACCTTCATTAGGGAGGACAACCTGCTTCACTCAGTCCATCTAGAAACATCCTTTAGAAACACAGCGAATAATGTTTGACCAAATGTCTGGGAACCCTGTGTTCCAGTTCAGTTGATACAATACATTAATCACCACAACACTATAAATCTTTACTTAAGAATGTTGTTAATGTGTGACCTAAGGCAGAAAATATTTAAGGCCAAAGAGTGAGGTACACAGATAATTACATACAGCTGCCATCCCAAGAGTCATTCGTCACCTCACAAGGCATGCCTCTTAAGTCACTTGTAAAACTCTGTTTTTAAAAGTATGGATGTTTTTCCCTCCTTTTCTAGTAACTACAAATCATCCACCTTCCCAGGGGAATGATGTCATGTGAGGGAGCGGGACGAGCAGGGCTTCGGGATCGGACACACGGCTCCACTGCTGCTCCAGCACTTTACTTGGGATATAGTTGAGGCAAGGAGCTCATAGTCTTCGATTCTCATTTTTTTTCTTCTACTAAACATTTAACGTAAAAGCCAAGGAAACCTTTTAACTGACACTGATCAGGAGGTTTACGTGCCTAATAAGCTGGTGAGGGAAGCAGCAGACTCTAAGAGCTCCTAAGGCATAAGAGAAAAGTCGAGCACAAGCGGTGTCACTGTGACATAGTTCATCTGGAGTGCCAGGACCAGGGGGTCAGGGGAGAGAAAGACACGCTGGTTGAGACCTGAGCCAGCCTCTTGCACTGACTCCAGAATGCTGGAAAGGAATATTTAAGGGGAGAGACCAGGGAGCATGTACAGTACACAAAACGGTACACAGAGCAGATAAGCAGCCTCATCTAGACTAGACAGACAGACATGACGTAATGCTGTGCGAAGAGTCAGAGCATTTTCTCAAGCACACAAACCAAGCGTATCTCCTGGGCTGTTTCTCCAGTCTGGCCGTGGGCTGGAGCGCTGTCATCTGTAGCAGCAATGCAGGGTCTCCCCACGGCTGCCTCAGAGGACCACAGGAGTGGCGGGGACACTCAGCGCACACAGCCTGCACAACCTTTCGGAACTGCTCTAAAGCCTCATCCGTTTAGAAATGTACTAAATGACTCTGGCAGAGGAACTTAGATGTAGATGGAAAGATACCTTTCTCTCCTACAATCGTAGACTCTTCTTGGTTTTCAGAAGTTCAGAGTTTGGGATTATTGGTGCTGACAAGGCTCTGTGATCCCCATAGGACAATATAAAGCAGAAATTACTATCTTGGCCTCCAAGCCATTTAATCAAGGAGAGAAAGAGGAGAGGACATGGCTAGATGCTGAAAACTCATTCCACAACACTTTTGTTCTGTATCTGATTATGTATGTGTGTGTGTGTGCTGTACATACAAATTTAATTTTAATTTTAAAACATATCTTTTATTGGGCATTAAAAAATCTCTATTTTTCAATTCTTCAGTGTGGCCATAATTACCAATGAAAACTACTGAAGTTTAAGTAGCATTCTGATCCCCCGCAACCACCCCCCCCAATAACGCTATTCTTTTTGGTTTTCCCATCGAGATGCTCATATTTCCCAAGCCAGGC